TTTATATATATATATTAATATATATATATAGATATATATATATATAATTATTTACACGTGCACATAAAGTATGTCTCCGTATGAATTTCTATTTGTGTTTAGAACTGTAAACCGTGCTAAAGAGGCCTGCAAATGTGCCTTTAAATAGATTTCGCATTTTGACTTGTACATTGCAGACTGTGTATGCGATAACCATCAAATAGCATGGCGGGCGGTGTCGGTATCGACTACTGTGTGTCCAGATGTACGAGGATATCCTGGCTTTTCATAATATACTCCCCAATAAAGTGAAGCGCATAGTCGGCTGTATATACGCGGAAGTAACTTGCGATGTACGCTAGAGGAAACGGACTCCTCCTCTGATCCGCACAGTGATATCACGACATAACATCTCATACATGTTGTAGCAGACGACAAGCTAGACCCATACTACCAAAGCATTGTTGTTCTGATACAACCAATAATGAAGCGAACACTCACTACATACCCCTCCAGCACTAGACTTGGTCTGCCTTGGTGCGGCTCCAGGAGATGTTTTAACACCTCTAATAATGCTCCGCAAGTAAACACCGGAAGCTTGTGTCCCTGAGTTTACCCCCGTACTAAGCGTTACTGGAAAAGGACGCGATCTCAGGTTTGAATTTCCAAACGATGTGTATGCACGGGTCTTAGTATACTTTGCTAAGAGTGTCATACTTAGTCGTGATGTTGGCAGGCATAATCTCGTGAGCGACGAAAACATGGTTGCGTCTTGATTGTGCGTGTTAGTGTGTGTGTGCGTGTTTGTGCGTGTGTGTGTGTGTGTGTGTGTGTGTTCGTGTTAGCGATACGTGTGCGGTCATTCAATGGATGAACACGAATGGCCTACGAACATTAATTTTTATTTTATTTTAACAAACACATTACATTATTATATTCGGCCAGGTATCGACGACATGATGTTGACACTATTTATTGTTACATTACAAAAAGGGGTTCAATCTGACTATATGTTTGTTTTGAAATTCTGTATATTTTTATATTTTTTTCTCAACTTCTGATCTGCATTTTTTAATATATGCGGTATTGTTCCACAGCTGCGACAATTGTAAATATTTACTACTATAGCCACCACTTGTGCTCTGTAGTGGATCCTGGTGACCTGGTCTCTTATCCGTTTTTCGGCTTCGTTGTATCTGATATGTTCTTTCTCTTAAATACCTATCGCATAGTATGCAACTCGTGAATAAAGAACTGATCAGCAAAACTGACTGATATCGAAAACTGGCACAGGTGTCATTTAGTCGGCAACATTTGTGTATATACATGTTCCATCATAGAACGATCACGGCGTATACATTATACTCGACTTGGCTGTGTCTGCCTTGCGCGAGGTCAGTCTGCTCCGCATCCGCTTCAATTTTCTGCTCTAGTGTTCGAGCTCTTCGTGTTGTTTCACACACATCTCTATTCTATCCAAAGTAAACTCTATTCTATCCAAAGTAACGTAATTTAGGAACATTGAAAACACAATGGCACAACAGCTACAGATATAACGGGATCTTATCACTTGACCGTAAATGTATGCGGGTGCGTATTTTTCCGAACGAAAGATATGGGCGTTGCGCTGTCCCCATATGTCGTTGTACTCCAGGTTGTACTCCAGATTCGGCCACGTACCCCAAGTCCTCAACTGGTAGGATGATTTCGACTCCGTTGCCTACAATGGTCGACAGTAGTCTTTCATGAGAATTCAACATTGATGTACTTTTCATCATGGGCTCAAAAAGCTGCAATTAGGATCGTCCCTGCCGTACTGTGCTCTATGTATCGCGTTGTGAGATCCAGATGATGTTCGCGCTCCGCACGTAGGCAGGCTCCCTATTGGCTCATTGGCCGTGCTAGATTTTTGCACAGGGATCTTCATATAAATACATCTAGTTGCAATCAGATATGAGAGATGACCCTCTTCGCCTCCGAGATCTCTTTATCGGCAACTAGTAATTCCTGTAGAGGTTAAGATGAGCAATTAAAGTCAGGTTACCGCATAGTGAAGGAATCTTGTACTGAAATATGCTCAGACACATATTTTATTATTTGTTGTTGTGCATATGCACCGGCAGTGCTCTAGCTAAAACTAGGAGCTATAAATTCTTGTGGAATATGTATATTCTTCGAGACGTTGAGAAGCCAATTAACTCAGAAAATGAATCGCGATATCAATCAGATAGTATGGTCGCCTTCAAAGACCGAAGTACAAAAATTGAAAGACATGATCATGTCATCTCGCCATTACCAATAAAGTCGAAGATACACAATGACGTGACAAATTTTGGAAGTTACCAGTGTAAAATCGATTGTACCTGAGCACGGTTCAACTTTTTCTTGTCCCTGTGAATGACAAAGCAAAGATCCTCTGTTCTGAACGGGCCGTTGGTAGAAACCTTCTGTGCATCCGCGAGCTGTGGTGTGATACGTAAAAGAGTTGATTCAGATACTAAAACTGTTATACACGAGGCGTTTCCAGATTGTTGACAAACGGAGATTGTACGATAAGAATCTAGACACTCGTGCAATTACACGAACTTTAAATCTGTAAAATTGAGAGGCTTTTCGTTGCCTAGTATATTGAAATCATTGTCCAGGATGCACCATTTTATCAAAAATAATTTTAGAAACCAAGGCATAAGTTTTTGCCCCAGTATGACTAAGCCATTCAAGTCGATGCAGTACTTCTGTGCGACATATATGGATTTGGGGTTGTCTAAGTCCAAGAATACACAAGTTTTGCTTCAGCAGCGTACACCACAGAAACCATACCAAATCCTGCATAAATTCAAACAGGATCTCCTCCATTAGCTTGCAGGATGCGTGCAACGGTCTGTTGGAGTCGCCAAAGCCAAACATCATGTGCCGCACTGCGTAAAAAACCCCCAAGCCGAGAGCGTCAGTCGTCATCTAAGAACTGAAATGGTATTTGTTGCCTTACTGTAACAGGTCTCCTATCAGACTAATTAATGAATTGAAGGCAATAGAGAAAATGTCATAGTTGGAAGCACACCTTAACATTTGTATACGATAACCACAAAACCACCTCGACTAGGGATTCCGTTTACGCGTCTCGGAATGCAAAAAGTAGTGTACAAATGTAGATTTCAGGCAGCGAGATACTGTGATCAGATGATATACATATAATAGTTTGACAGATGACGGCCCTCTTACAGATAAAGTTGGCACTAGCCACCTTCGTTTGTGGGGATTGCTCATATATATAGATATCTTGATACATCCGTATTACTGTACACCAATACAAAGCAGTGTTCTCGTATTAAAGTTGTCAGTGTGCTCTAGGCTGGCGTTTAAGTGCGTTCACATATATCCCTTAAGCATGGTTGGCATCTATAGAGCTACAAGATAGCAAGTCGTGTGTCAGAAAAATATAAAATATACTCCTCGAGCATGATTATCACTTTCTTGCTTACTTACGAACACATGCACTACCACTACCCCACACAACCACGAAAACCAGTTGCAACCATGAGACTAAACTTCTGATAATTATCACAGCCTTACAAGGTAACCTACTAGTCATGCTCAAGTATTTCTTAATGCAGATCAAATCATAAGATACAAATTTACCATATCTCAGAGGTCGAATATGAGTTGATCGAATATGAGTTGATTTGAGTGAATCGCATGTCGGCATGGAAACCAACATAAACCCACCCACTGAGATACAACCACATAATATTCGTTATAATCTGTCTACCTTCTTTCAAAAACACGGGCTTTCGCTCGTTTTTACACTGGCCTTCGATAAGCATCGCATCTAGTTCACGCCTGTTTTCCGCTGCAGCATCAGCTTGGCTATTCTTGACTGCATGCTTCTTGATACCGCGAGTGTTGCGTGTACATGGATGACGTTGTTGACGACAGGGGCGTGGTGTAAGCTCTTCATATTCCGGATTTACTGTAGAGCTACCATTTCTCTCTCTTATTCTACTTGATCGGCGTCGTGCACCGAACATATCTGTGGACTGGACAACTACTATCGTACAGTGTTGCCCACCAAGGTATGCCGGATTAAGATGCTCAACAGCTATAGTGAGTCCTACGATACACAATTGACAGTCGGCCAACCGTCGGATAAGAATACCTGGTTCTTTGTCCCGTAAAATATATATTGAATCACAGCGCACAAGAGGCAAAATAGACGATGCATTGAAATGTATATGAAAGGGATGGATGGCGAAACTCTCGTGAAGACCACTTTTGACCAAGATGATAGAAAGTTGACAATTTTTGTATTATATGAACTTTTGGCGCCATTTCCAAGCTTTGTCCATTTATGGCAGCCTTCCTATAAAATAAAGGGGTCAACAACTCGAGAGTCAAGACTAGAAGTCCAGAGTCATCGTGGGCCTTGGGCCTGTGCAACCCTGTGGGCAGTGAGCCGTGGCCTGGTGAACCTGTGTCCTGTGGGCTGCCATGATTATTTAATGTGGGCCTGTGCCCTGTGGCCCGTGGGCTGTCGCCTCGGTTTCGGGTTTCAGACTTCCATCATCCGTGAGTTCCAACTCCAAGTTCCAGGCTTCCAGAAGTTCGAAATATTTACCAGCAGGGCTAACCTGGCTCGCACTTCGTTTTAATATAGACGACCAAATGTTCAGATTTTCATTTTGTCGTTAGATACACTTTTTACTAGACAAATATACTTATACTGCGGTAAAAATCGTCATATAGTGGTGACAAGACCGAAATCGCAATGAACAAAGACTGTCAAGCGCCTATTCGACGACGAAACAAACATTGACACAACACCGATATTTTCTCACGGATGAGCTGAGCGATTCCTCGACTTTTTAAGTTCTATGATCATTCGCAATTATGATAAACAGATGGTAATAAACATATTTTTGTTCCCGCTTTCAATAGTGTATATTTCGAGGAACACTTTAACAACAACAGACTATGCCAAGCTGTGAAAAGTCGAATTTAAAGCAATCGTACAGCGATGTTAGTTGGGTTTGTATCATCATGAAGAAGATGTAACAAGTTAAAAGATTCCTGAAGGTCTTTATGCATAGATACTAGATGAAATTCAAATGAATTGATCCTAATAAAATCAATTACACATACAAACTGTCTATTAAAGCGCTATGAACTTGATTCTACTCATTTAGCAACATTCAATGAATAACCCACCCTGCTTGCTCGGTGGTAATTATTATACATAGAGATTCGACTAATAGGCATGCCGCTGCCGTTTTCATAAGATTTTCAAAAGCACAATATAGTATTAAGTGAAATATTTATATGGCTCTCATTTCCCAGTGTGAAAGTGATCATAGCACTTGGAAAGAAAGCAGATCAGTCTGGAGCAGGGATGATTGAATTTGGGAGATTTAGTAGTGTCTCACCAGTCCAAAATGTTTACGAATCGACTACTTTGTGATTTTATTTCCCACGTTTGATCATGAACGGGAAATCCTATCTAGTCTGTTCATTCAGTTGACGATAAATTGTATTCGAAACTGCTCTGGGGAACTCGCTCGCTATTGCGTGTGCTGATCTTCTGAATCGTCTATTGTAAAGGTCGAATAACCCCTACTTCTAAAGCTGTCAGAAGAAGAGACAAACAAATTAATCCTGGTATTTTGGTCGTTATCAACAGGCTGGAAAGGTATTTGGAAAACCAAAATTGCTCTGGTGTGAGAGCACTGTACCTTGTATGTCGGATCGGGGCATCGTCTGCTTCTGTAAAATACAGCGAGGTTGTTGCTTGTTAAGAACGAGAAGACTCGTATTCGAAACACTACATATTGGATATGTTTCATATCAGTAGATCATAATTTGTGGACCTCTTTGTCTATGTATGTTTTAGGGTTTTTTTTGTAGAATATTTGATATTTATAAAAAATAAAAAGATGCTGAAGACTATTTATCGGACTACTATTATCAGTCATTCAGTTTTTTGAAATCCCACCTACCCATGTCCATCGAAATCTTGGGATAAAATCTGCAACAGCCCAAGCCATACTACAAGACTCTCAGTAACTTCGATAGTCAATTAACAGCTTGTCTATGTAGCAACTTTTGTTTGACGACGCGGAAGTGTTTTGCGAATCGACTCATCACTTACCTTCTTAAGTGTTGAACTGTTGCAGTGAGCTACATCTGTATTTTTGAGTGTTTAGAACAGTTAATAGTGCCGCATTCTGAGTCAAGTTGACGTACTTCGAACTGTCAAATTCGAATAGGTTTCTCTGGGAAGTTGTAAGGGAAATCTGAGACGTGACAGACAAGGTTAAAGATAATTTCACTGGCCTATCACTCTTGAGCTGTGGTTGTTAAGCTGCCACAGTCCTTCAACCTACTCACATACAACATAGAACTCCGACACGATGCCTGAAGAAGCGAACGATAGTGGGGATTACAGCTTGCTGTACCCCAAAAAGAAGAAAATATTTGCCTTTAAGTATGTTTTCTTGCCACGTTTGCGTAATCTACAATAGATCTCTCGCCAGAACATAAGTAGAGTAGATACAAACGGCCAACCTTCATATATGCACGTTTANATATATATATATATATATATATATATATATATATATATATATATATATATATATACTATATATATAGTATATATACTACCTATACTACTATACTACT